AGACCAGGACCTAAACTATAGCTGCTCAATCGGGTGGGTCATCTTTACTGCCACAGTCCCGGTTCTCTGACTCCAGCTAAGGGGACTGGAATGGAATCACGAGCATACTCATTAGGCTCAAATCTGGGATAAGTATGGTGAGAGTGCGAGCGCGAGCGAGGGCCCGGAGAACAGTATTTTGAGAATAAAATCAGTACTAGACCGTGTCACATCTATGTGTACTCCCACCCCTTAAATGACAGGTATGTTTCTTGTGTGTTTATTCACTTGCATATTTAAAAATGGTTTACGAGTTGCTTTTGTTGACATTCTATGAGGTAGTCCAATTTGGCCACCCACACCACACAATCACCGTATTTGAAATAGTGAAGAAAACTCTTATGCGTCACGTGGTATGCGCTCAATAACGTGAGCCTATTCTAGCTTGTCGGTGCAAGGATGAAAATTAGGTCTCTCCATTATTTTTGCTAAATTAGCTTTGAAGCATACAAATTGCTTTTTTGGAATTAGTTTCTATGCTTTCTATGACATTGTTCCTATAATTATTATTTGGCTTGCTTGTTAATTTATTGCAATAATGCTAGTGCAAGGTGCTGGTGTTGTCTTTCTATGAGTCCGGTAGGCCAAATGATCCTCTGGTCTATTTAAATCTTGCTCTCTTTAATATATATAAGAAAAATACATAAAGCCTCACCTTTTAATCTTCTCCTTCTGAGCTTTCGGTGCAAGTGAAACCTCTTAGTAGATGCGAGTGAGTAAAAGCCGTCCTTGTCCAAAGACACAAAACAAACTACTAGCCAGAAACCAGAAAGCCCATAAAGTCAACTCATTTATGCTTTTTAAGTTTATAGAAAACCCTCACTATATCCTCTTTGTAATACACGAACCTAACAGGCCATTTAGATGTGTCACTTCCTACCCCACTTTAGGCTCTCTCTCCTATCCCGAGCACGTGTTCTCATGTTAGAAATTACGGCCTAAATTAAACAACAGTATCTTACTAATAAATATCGCGAGGTGTGCCGAGTGTTTATACAGAATCCCACTTCTCACTGTCACGCGACCCCATCCCACAGCAACCACTCGGCTATTTCCTCCTTTGACATGTGGCGTTATTAATCTTAGAACTCTCCCTAATCCCCACTAACCTGGTTTGCCAAACTATTTAAATAAACATGAATAATCTTCAACACTACTACAACATAGACGGGTTATTCATTTCTTATAAAACTTATCTCAACAAGCGACTGCAAATGGAACCGTTAGTTCCCTTCTTTCGCTCCTGAAGTGGCCCCATGAATAATATTCACCACAGACTCATAAAATTATTGTTCCTCTTCATTAAACCAATGTGAAGCAAATCCAACTTAGAGCAAATCTTTTTCAGCCTGGGCGCTCATTAAACATTATTTTGATGGTCGAAGAGTCTGATAAGGCGGCTAAGCTCGCGCTCGGTTTGTGAAGTGTTGGAGAGGAACCGAGAGTTTATACAGCAACTGCTTATTATGTTATGTTGTTATCTGAAATGTCTTCCATAGTGAGTATTGCCGTGTGTATAAGAGAAGAGAATATTGGAAAAAAAATTGTTCTATCAGGAAACAACTATCTCATGCTGTTCCTCTTAGTTTTAGGTGTCATTAGAGTCGATTCTGTTCTTCGTTTATCCTTAAGCTCTTTTCTCGCTCCACACGCACCCACTTAATCACGGTCACATGGACCTCTTCATAACCAACAGGCAAAGGCCAGACAGGTCAAAGAGACTTTAGTCAAGTCTGCTGCTGTGACTTGTGTCACCACTACACTTCAGAATCTATTTCCCCTTTACCCCGCTCGTTGCCAGACCATGCCTGTGAAATGTATATTTTCATAATGATTGCGGACTTTGTGTGTTTTTTAATGTTTTAACTTGAGTCTGATCGTTCATGTGTTTCTCTATATGAAAATCAAAGAAATCTGCCCCCTGTTTATGGCCCAGTATATACTTTTCTTAAGAAAAGAGTCCAATATTTCCATTAACTTTGTATCCACAGTGCACATTTATTTATATCTTTTTGCATGGCGGCTAGTGAGCCATAAAAGCATATCTCTTTACCCTAGTCATTGAGCTGTCAGGAATCTGCATCGATCTTCAAGAGGAAACGAAACAAGAAGGAGAGGACACTCAAAGAAGAAAGACAAATGTAAAAGAGATGGTTAGGAGAAAAAACAAGGAAACAAGAGCAGACATATGGGAGGAATGGAGGGAGAGATAAGGGAAAAGGCACGAGAAACAAGAGGCAGAGAGAAATGAGAGAAGCTGTGTGACTCAGCACCTCTCTCTCTCTCTCTCTCTCTCACACACACACACACACGCACACACACACACACACACACACACACACACACACACACACACACACACACACACACACACACACACACACACACACACACACACACAGAGGCCTGTGCCCAGCCCTGCCTGGATTCACCCTGGTTCTCTCCGAGTTGTTCCCACAGGGGACTCCTCTCTCTGTGATTGACCTGTTTAATCAAGATATTTAATGGCTCTGTTCCCACGCTTCCATACAGTACACGGCTGAGAGACTGGCAACTGCTCAGACACAATGCAAACATTTATAATGTCAATGCAGTTTGCAATTAACTTCTGCTTCTCGCCCATTCATGCAAAGTCAACACAGCTGACAGCAGGTCTGTTTTTGTTCAGCTTTCGTAATTCACAGATATTAGTTGGGTCTTTCCTTATTTGCATCATCACACTCCTCTCAGGATGAGGGTGTTTCTGTTTATGAATAACACACATACACACACAAACAGATGAACTTGATCTGTCTGTATGTGACATCATTTTATCTCATGCTCCCTTGATGTCTAACAATACATGAGAGGTTGTCAGTTATACAAGAGAAACAGGTTTTTGTATGTATGTGTGGGTGTGTGTGTGTGTGTGTGTGTGTGTGTGTGTGTGTGTGCGCGCGTCTTGTCCATGTGCGCACACTGTAAACAAAACTGGCTTCATCGTGAGGGAGCTTTTATTAGCCTAAAGTATTCTTCCAAAAGGCACCAGACAGATTTCAAAGTTCTTTGTCTGAGAGTGTTTTTTATCCTCAGTTTAACTCACACGCGCGCACACATGCATTTCACACACTTAACCACTCAGTGAAGAAACTCAATCAGGAGCCGGGCCTTTCTGTTGTCTTACTTATTTGGTGGGTTGCTAAGGAACACGAGATGTAGCCCGGAGAGGGGTCCGGGGATGGCTTCTGTTGTGGAAATACTGGCTGCTACAGGCTGTGTGTAGGCTACAAGTGTGCAAGTGTGCAAGTGTGCAAGTGTGTGTGTGAGTGTGTGTGTGTGTGTGTGTGTGTGTGTGTGTGTGTGTTCTTTGAGCTTTTATCAAAGCCCTTTTTATAAGCTCTGGATGTTGATACTTTGGGCACTTTAAACTGAGCCCTGAAATCCTTAAAACCGTCACAAGAGCAATGGATGGTCCAGATTTTAAACACTGATTGGCCCAATAAAATTTTCCTTTCTTACCAGGAATATTTTAAGGGTAGATTTAGAGAAGTGGTGGTCTCATAAAATATGTTAGGGATAAAACATGTTTAATGTAGAAGACATTTATGCCTGTGACAAGTGGCCTGTTGTTCTTGTTGATGTTCATGTAGTCTGACTCAACATGTGGACTGCAGGGGTAGGCCTACATGCACTCAGCAGCAATTGTGTTCTGCTTCTTACAGCTTTCCCTTCTAGTTGACACCAAAATATTTAGAACAATTTTCATGGAAAAAAGGGATTTCCTTGTATATTTTTCAAATGACAGGAGGATATGTTCAAACATAATATTATCTATCTGTCTGTTTGCCAAGGTCTCTATAAGTCTTGGGCCACACAAACAGTTGCACAACAGCTGGTGCACATAGTGAAGCGCTTAGCAGCTAAAAATCTGGATATTTCCCTCAGGAGTTGAAAGCGACCAAAATCAGAGCTGAAAGAAGAGTGAACACTGGACACAAACCCACTCCTAATGAATGCTGCGTTGTATGCTAACGTTTCCATATTCGTATTTTCCGGATATATAAATAAGCAACTGTTTGCCATATAAACTTAAACTATTGCTGCCCATAAGCATCCAAACAAATCACTTATTGCAGAGTTTGACAAATAATTAAACCATTTATTGATTACCAAAATAGCTGCACATTTTTCTGTTGAACTACAAGGCGATTAATTGACTAATCTCTTCCGCTCTAGATCAAACAATCCAGTACATTTTGTTTCAACAGAAGAATTTTAATAGGTCCTAACAGACCTTCCTCCTGCATCAGCACAGCACAAATGCAATGTAGAGAAACAGTAGATCTGGAAATGTGAGACTAATGTACACAGAGAGGGATGTTTTCTAGTGCAGACACATCTGACTCAGCTGATGATCTAATCACTGTCTTTCAGCATGGCCTGTCCAAGAAGAGCTGGGCGTGTCACAGTGTGGGATGTCTGACAACACAGATCTAAGACAGCTGAAATAAATCTTTGGGTCAGGAGAGTTGAGGGGTCTCTACTGTAGGAGCCAGCATCACAGAGCTTTTTGCTCTTGTTCAAGATTTAACTGAGCTCGAGAAGATTATGCATCCATGGTCCAATCTCGTGATCTGAAGCAGTACTTCTGTTTTGATTTGCTGATTAATGTGGCGCCGTATGTTGGTCATGTTTTTTTTTTATGACCTTATGAATAAATTCATTCATTTCTCTGAGCACAGAGCATTGTGACCTGGCTGGACTGGGTGAATGTGCACTATTCTGAAAATTTCACAAATCGTTTACCTTGGAAGTAGGCCTCATTTGCGTACAAGTAAATAAATTACTGCATGGCACTTTGATAACAGTCTGGGTTATTCTCCAGAGAGATCAGTGGAAGAGATACAAGAACAGATATGTAGAAGAGGAAGCTGCTTATGCCTAGAAAGTCAGAAAAGCTCTTGTTTTTTTTCAGCACATACCCAAGCGCGGGTCAAATCTCCAAGCAGGGATGTGATCATTTTCCTTCAGGCCGCTGTCAGCCGGCAGTGGAACGGACACCGTGATTGGCTCATTCACCTGCAGCTCTGCACCGTCGCTGGCCAATAGATGAACAGAGATGGCTGCTACAGGAGTCAACTCAAACTTCTTCTCAGTGCCTGTGAGAGAAGCAGGAGAGTGTAAGAGGGAAACATGCAGCAAAGAGGAAAGGCAGTGGGAGTAAGGTGCACAGGAGGGGGAGCAGGGAAAGGAGCGGGCAGCAGGGGGTGGGGAGTAACATAAAACAGCATAGATAAAGGCGAGTTGTCAGGGGAAAGACAGACAAGAAAGAAAACACTGAGACAGGAAAGAAGGAAACAGGGTGGTGAGTGAAAAAACTGAGTGACTAAGGTTGGAAAGTGTCACAAAGCACAAGTATGCTTGTGTTGCCCGGAGGGCAGAGATACGTGCTGTGGGGAGGGGGAGCTTTTGAGGGGTATTCAACCTGAAGGAGGAAGAAGGACACACAAAATCATATGACACACACATACACAGAAACACACACCACACACACACACACACACACACCAAGACGAGGATGCCTGAAAGCGTGCGGACACGGGGCTTGTGTTATAACGAGAGCACACACACAGGGGTTATTGTGTTTCAGGAGGTCAGATAGAGAGGCCTCTCCGGGGTAGTGTCTCTCTGATGTACCACTGCTTCTACTCTTCACTCCCCACCCCCTCCCAGCAGCCTTCTCCCCTGTCATCTGTGCCCCGATTCTCTTTAGCCCTCTTTCTACTATGATGTCTTAAAACTCCTATGCGCTGTTACCATTCGTAAGTTCAAGCCTTACCTGTGCCGTTGCCGCCGAGGACCTGCAGGTGGGGAAAGTGCTGGATGTGTGAGGGCGAGCTGGCAACGGTGAGCAGAGCAGTCAGGTTGGCATAGGAAGTGTTGGAAGGGAGACTCAGAGCTCTGCGCTGGAAATGAACACTGGGCTGTCGTCTGAAACCTTGTGGAGTAACAGACATACAGATGTCAAAAACCATTACATCTTGAATACTTATCCTGTGTTGTTAGATTTTCAGTATTGAAACGATTTCAAATTATTATTTAAAGATTTTTTCTTTAATGACACAAACAAAGATGACATGAACAAAGGTTACTCACTAAAATCAAACTGGGAATGTGTGATTGCTTTGCATCTTTGACTGCAATGCCATGACAATGAACCTAATTGTCTCTCAATTTTTAAGATCACCCTGGTGGCCTAGGTGTTAGGGCGCCGACCATGAATCATGACGCCCCGGATTCAAAACAAGCCGGGAACCTCTGTTGCGTGTCGTTTGCTGTCTCTCTGTCCACTTGTTTCCTGTCATCTCTCTACTGACAGCTCTATAACAAAAGGCATAAAATTCCCCATATACATTATCTTACGATGTGTATATATGTTAAAAATAATTTTGGAAAGTTTGTTCTGTGGGTTGTAAATAACACCAACATTAGTTATGTATTTTAACCATTTTCTGCACAAGATATTCAAGAATGTAATCTTCATTTGTGATCGAGTTATCACTTCTCTTGTGAATCTTTGTTCTGTGTTGCTGATTATACATTGGTCAGACATGTTCTTATAAAATGTGTATAGATTTTTTCTTTATTAATAACAAAGCTGAGGCAGATCTCTTAAGTGCATCTTAAAGTATTAGGCTGAAGTCAAAAATTTTTGGGCAAATCCCAGAAACTCCACTGTAAACACCCACAAGAACAACAAATGTGTCTTATTCTGTGGCTAAAATACATATGTGCATTTTTCAGTATGTAAAATGTACATATTACAGTTGTAAAGCAAACTTTACAAACAATAAATATTGTAAATACATAAAACAAATTCAACTTTCTAGTTCATTTTTCCTATTAAACCCAATAGAGAAATCTGAACTTAAAATCCAAAAAATTCTCGACATAACAGACCATGTTGCACGCTGATGTTTGTTTCAAGATGTTTAACAAGGTAATTTTCTACTCCTCGTCTTTGCCTTATGCCTATTTATAAATTCATCCATCAAATTGGTCTTAATGGAGGTTACTCTGGATCGATACACTAAAGACAATGCCTCCTTCAACTTTTTCTCTCAGCCAGTGTGAAGCCTCTTTCTGCTATTTTGCCCTGCAATTAATTGTTTCTTCGTCATTTCTCCCCGTCACTGCATCCATCCAGTCTCTGCCTGCCATTAACGAATTATGGATGTGCAATAAACAGTAAAAACTACATGTGGCTGAACTCAGCAAGGTGAAGTCATTGTGGTTCGACTGTGCCGAGCGCACATTCCTGAGCAGTGAGACACAGATCCAGCTGTATACGAGTGTTCACTGTGTTTGTGTTTCTAGTTGTACTCGACATGATTTTTGGCTCTGCAGTATGAGTGCATCTTTTAACTTTCATGTTTCTGTCTAGAAGCTTATTCTTGAAATTCAGGTGTAAATGTAATTTCCATTCTGTGGCTCTGTTTTTGTGAAAGGAAACGACCCTGTTTCTGTTCTTTGTGTGTTCGCTTCCTCAACTCTTCTTGTCTTTTTTCCCTCCACTTTTCTTTCACCTCATCTGTTCCTCCTTCTGTTGGACACTGCTCTGCCCATCCCCCTTTCTCCCTCTCTCCCCTATTCTCTCCAACTACTCCACCCACAACCCCACTTCCCAGTACCTACTGCATCATCCTCCTCCTCCTCCTCCTTTTCCTCCCCCTCTTTTATTCTTTTTCCTAGTGCCACACGCCAAGGTTTATCACTCCCCTGGGCACCCAAGTTCACGACATCATGACAAACAGTGTGTGTCGGACAGAGGGCAGAAATAATGCTCCACTCAGGCACGTGCTATAGTCAGTGTGTACTCAAGAGGTTTAACATGTTAATGGTGTCTGTATATTTATGTGTGTTGTGTCTCTGATGTTTTTTTTAGTCAGACAACACAGCTGACACATTAAATTACTCCCTTGTCAGTCACAGACACACAAAAGACCCAGCAGACAAAAAGACTAAATTGATTTTGCCTGAGTGAGAAAAGCCTATCTAATATAATTACAGGCACCTTAACAAAGAGGCTGACTAACAAAGACAGATTTGTGATTTATATTTGTGTATGCGTGGACGGAGGAGGGTGGATTTGATTATCTAATCTATGAGATCTTACTTGACAATAGGTAATTTAATGTATAGGTGGGGCTAATTAGCTTAGGGTTTTAGTAAAAACAAATGAATGAACATGAATTTCTCAGTGTTCAAAACAGGTAAAAATCTGACTTTAACAAGACTTAGAGTCTCAAGCCATGCAAACTAACATGTAACATGTCAGGCAGATAAAATGTTTGCCATCTTAGTTTAGCGTGTTGACATCCTAACATTTCTGAATTTACACTGAATACAAAGCCCAGCTGAGGGTGTCAATATTTTTCTTTGGACATTTTTGCCTTTATTGTGATAGAGACAGGAAGGTTGAGGAGAGAGAGAGGGGATGACATGCAGCAAAGGGCCGCAGGTCAGCTCTGAACCCATGGCCACTGCGGTTAGCACTAGACTATGTGGTACGCGCTCTACCAGGTGAGCAGCCGGGGTGCCACAGGTTGTCTATATTTATGTGAGTACTGTACTTGAATGCAAGCCAGAAACCAAATGACGTTGCCATCCCTAGAGCCATGCCATTAACATGGCAAAAAGTAAATAATACAGAACCAGGGATGAAGTTTTTATTACACATTTTGCTGCACAAATACACTGTAGTTTGGAGGGAGTGTTTGTAAGTCTATTTTCACTTACAAACACAGAAATGTAGAATACGCATTGCCATGTTCTTCCCATTGTTGTCTTCACTGTCTATTTCCTAAAGCATGCTCTGAGCAGTCCTCTTTACAAGAAGGCCTAGTTAACTGTAATCACAGTGAACAATGTCTTCTTGCAGCTAGTAGCTTTTGGATGAATGAAAACACGAAGTATAATGAAAATTTGTGAAAACAGGCCTTTTCACAGCACACATGTTGACTTGTTACAATAGAAAAAAAGCAAAGGTGTAACTAATAACATTAACAGTGCAAGTGTCCCAGTAAGACATGATGCTGTGATAGTGATTTGAGTATGCATAACAACAGGACCCTAAAACTGAAGCAGCTTAATTTAGAACTAGCCATCTTTAATTTCATTATCTACGCCTGCGCTATCGTAAATGTGACATTTCAAATTGTCTCCTTTGAAAAAATGCCTATTGTTAAAAAGCAGTGATATGTATAGCTAAATATGCAGACACGGACAAACAAAAATGTATCAACATATATGCAAAACACTGCATTTACCTTGTAAGCCTGACACAATCTCCACGATATCTTCATACACCATCAGCGTAGCAGCTCTTTCTGGTAGCAGGACCAGGCTGATGGAGGAAAATACTGGAACACACAAACAAAACCACACAGTGCACACACACTGCATTAACTGTCAGAATAAATTCACAATCAGATAGGAAACAAACTGCAATTTACCTGGCCACTTTACTGATCACTATCAGACATAACAAGTCATTAATCCAGCTTTATACATTTTTAATAGTCCTGCTTTCATCCTGTCTGCTGTGCGGGACACAAGTCTGACCTAGCAAACTACACTTCTCTCCTCTTCCTTCCTTCCTTTCACTCCTCCATTGTTCAGAGCTGGTAAGCGTGATAATCCAATTGGCTGCCGTTCCGTTGGCTTATAATAACCCCCCTTCAGTTCTACCCCCCCACCGCAACACACAAACACACACACACACACACTGTACTGTTGCCTCTTGGGAGGTATTTTGTGTGTGAGTGTGTGTTAGTGAAAGGGAAGCTTAAGCAGCCCCCTTGCTGGGTTTTGGCAGCTCTTGTAATAAATTAGTAATGGAGCACTCCACTTATTAGCTCACACACCTGGCACAAAGTCACACAATTTATATTTTACACACACACACACACACACACACACACACACACACACACACACACACACACACACACACAGACACACACAGACACACACAGACACACACAGACACACACAGACACACACACACGCACACACACACGCACGCACACACACACATACACACGCACACACAGACACAGACACACACAGACACAGACACAATCTTAGACACACGTACACACATAACTGGCAGCACACACTGAAATCAATAACCTGCAAGCCAACACTCCCAATCTAAATGTGGGTATTTCATAACATCCCCTCTGCATTCGTCTGAAAATATCTCTCTCACTCACACATAGACACACATAAACACACAGACACACACACACCTACCAGGTAATCTGGAGGGAGTCCAGGGCACAGAGTTTGGCACATATCCCTGCTTGGTTGCGGTGACGACCAGTGGTGTCCCAAGGCGGTAAGGGAAGCGCAGGTAGGTGTTGCCATCAGCCGATGAGGTTTCCGTGGTTACAGATGTGTGGTTGGCGAAGAGCTGTATGGTGGCTCCTCCCAGGGGCTGGTGAGTGCTGGCATCGCTCAGGTGAACCTTCAGAGTCACCTCTGTGAACATACAGAGCCTTTAATGAGCCATGGATACAGTATCTGTTGGTGTTTGCATGAGGAGGCAAAAACAAATCTGCAAGGAAATTCTAAACCACCACGACAGGGAATGATATACAGACATAAAAACACAGTGGTGTTATAATTACAGTCATCAAAAATACAGTCATCTCTTTAACTGGGGTTAGTTTCAGTGCCAGGCCCTTTGCCTCCAATCCACAGAGACGACATTCCACATCTCGGCAAATCACAAAGAAACGGCCATCTGACCATTTCCTGGACTCTTGCCAATGGCACTTCCCCTCTAAAACAATGGGCCATTTCCCTCTCTCAAAGAAGCCTTGGACCAGAGGGGAAAAACAACTGTACATATGGACACCTTCTCTAATGGAGATGAGGAACATCAAAATCTAACACAGACTGCCTGTTGATTGAATAAAGGCTCACAGAGGCGCTATAGACTTCAGGATTACAACAGTTACAACAGTACAAATCTTACATTCATTGCCTGATACACTGACCAAGATCGGTCTAATAAAATCTTGTTCACAAATTGTGACTTTATGATATCAATTTTGGACTTTGTTCGATGTTGCAGTGAATGCCAGGTGAATTGTAGTGCTACGATGTCAAAAGAAAAAAAATTGCAAAAATTTTTGTCAATTCATCAATTTATCATCAATTAATCATTTTAGTCATTTTACAAGCAAAAATGCTAAATGTTCCGTCTTTTCAAGTGTGAGGATTTACAACAGCTTCGTACAGAAACAGGCAGCTCACACACTGAGGTTCAATATATGACGAGCTGAAAAACAAACAAAAAATCTATTTCAGCATCATATCCCAAAGGTATGAGAAAAACAAACTTGGTCCAAAAAGTGTATAATTTAACAACCGCACAAACCCACGCTGACTCTCTGTTTTTGGAAACACGACAACATGAGCCCTGTTTGATCATTGGCTGCTGGCTGACCCATGGTGACCTTTCAATTAAGGCTGAAAGAGTTTCCACCTCCCTCTCCCTTGACCTAAACATACCCACCTCCCCCATACTCACTTTAACTGAATTTCGTTGTAACTCTTTCTTGTAACCCCACCCTCCGTGACACACACGCTAACACATACATACCCTGGCTAGACTAATCCCCCTCCCCCCGACTCAGGGATCCTGCGGTCAGTGAGGAACCACTCTGACAATATGTGGTAAGATAGAGAGTTAGAGAGTTCAGCTTGAGTGCAGGCTCCACCTAAAAACAGAGCTATGCACCAAGTGAAACCTTTGAATGGCTGGAAGTTGTATGGTGCATTTGTAGGCGGTGAGGTTTGGCAAGGCAATGTGTCAGTCTCAAACCAAACACATCATCACCCTGAGAGGTCTGGTGCGAAGATCTGCTCTGAGACTTCACTTCATTCCTCCTCTTTATTATATTATTACTGTCACAGCAGAGAAAAAGAAGGCTGGATTTCCCCTCGACAGAGACTCCCAACTGCATTGAGTTTTGGTGTGTGTGAGCTGGAGAGATCATGACCTCACTTCCTGTCCCACTCCCACTGATATGTTGTTAGGGGTACCAGCTGTGCTCACTTTAAAAGAACTCCCCTGGGAGAATCCAGACTGACATGCACGCACATAAATGCAACAGTCCCCTCCCAGTCCTCATCCAATAAATCTGTACTGTGGTGACATCATTGTTAAACAAGCTAGGAGTCTCCTCTCTGCTCCTACACACAGGAGAGAAGAAGACGGTCCGCTTGAATAATGACAAAGACTTCGATTCTGAGCCAGTGTCTCCATAACTGCTTCTCACTATATTGACCCCTTATCTGTGTGTTGTATTGAATACCATATGGAGGATGAAGGCATCAAAGAGAGTTCTGCCTGACCGACGCAGCGATCTCAGACCAATTATCTCAGGCAACAGCAGCCAAAGCAGCAGGGTGGTTGTGTGTGTGTTTGTATGCAAGTAGGTATACCCAAGACGAGAAAACAGTGAGGACAGACTGAGTGTGTGCGTGCTTTTCAGCCCACTATAGCTTGAATTAATACGTGTTTGGTGTATTAATCAGAAGTTACACAGGGGCAAAGCATTTCTGCTCCATAAAAGTGAGGTGTGATAAACTGGAAATGCATGGCATGGCTGGCCTCCACTGGGTGTGTGTGAAGGGCTTTGGTGTTCTTCCAAACAGAGGACGGGGAAACAGATGCGTTCTGCACACGAGGCTGAGTGGAAAGCTTGCGTGTACACAACATTTAGTACTGTAGTTGCAGTCACACTAGTGCTCACGCTGCTCAAATATCTGCTCATTATTTAGTGCAACTTCTTGAGTGACATCTTCACGTCTTATTTTATCAGACCAACAGTCCACAACTCAAACATATTCAGTTTACGATCACATAAGACAAAAGCAGCAGCCCCCTCACAGTTTAGACGCTGGGACCAGAGAATGGTAAACTACCAATAGATTATGAAAATATTTGCAGATTAATTTTCTGTTGCTATAATCATTTATAAAGTAACTGTTTTGGCTTTACTATTTTGATATTACTGATATTGTAATATGTTGATGCACAGTATTTTTGTCATGATTACATACAGCAGCAACAACAAGCATAGCTCAAAGCGAAATAAACATTGCTACCAGCTCATTTATGCTGCATATTGGTTTGAATTGCATGCTTTAGTTTTCAGCTCCATAGGAAATTCCTTAGTTTTTTGTTTCAAATTGATAATGACCAAAATATAAAACACATATGCTTATATTTACGGTCAAATTCGGTAAATATTACCAAATTGTGCAGGCCCTTTTTGGAAATCGCCTAGTGGTTTAACTAAATACCAGCTGATTCTTAGAAAATTATGAAGAAAAATTTCCAGGAAATGATCTGGAAAACACAGGACCTGTAAAATTAGCCGAGAAGCCTGTAACAGCAAAAGGGACAATGTCACCATCTCAAGCAGAAACACATGGTTGATTATGAGAGGAGCCAGAAATCATGTGACAAAGAGTGAAAGAGCTGAGGTCTACACAATGAAAACACACAAACTACACTAGCACAGCCTCGAATAGCCAAAACAGTGTGAGAGTTGTCTTAATAATTAAGTAAACAAATAATAAATATATTTAAAAATATATATATTCTGTATTTTATTAAAGCATTATGAATATTATTACTGGAGAAATACCCAGCAATTTCAGATTATTCAAAGGCAGTATTATCCATACCTGCTGTCAAACAAACAATTCACCGTTACAGCGCTAAAAAAACAAAGCAATTCAGTTCAGTGTTCAAGACTATGAGAACTACTTCATGCCTTTTCAACCTTAAGCACCAACAGACTGTTGTTTGTGTTTCTGGATTTAATAACTTGTTCAGCCACAGCAAAAGAAAACACAATGACTGGAGCTATTTATTTACCATTCAGATGGATAACAAACATCTGATTTTCAGGCTGTTGATCTTACAAAAAAAAAAAAAAAAAAAAATCAAATAGAAAAAAAAGACAAGAATAGACAAGATAGAGTATGAATCACCAACAGGGACAAGGGACACACAGAATGGCAAAACAACTCCTGAACATGCCACAGCATGAAACACACAGGTGTTGAGACGAAATAAGGAAAACTAAAGGAATACACAAACAGACTCATATCTGTTGAACTAAAGCACCGCCATTATAAACAGAGAAACAGACTATCAATAGGTGTTCAGCCTGCTATTTTCCCTCATCTGGATTAAAAGTAAGATTAGATTGCACTGGTCAATCCCATTAACTCAGCAGGGAACACAGCAATTAGGTTACATGTTTAGGCTGAAGAGCAAATGGACTCTCTTCATCTTACCTCAGTAAATATACCAGTCTAAATACTGCTTACCATTACTGGTTCTGCTCCTTGGCTGAGGAGCTAGTTGACCTCATCCCTAAATGCAGTGCTTTCTCATGACCTGATATATCTTCCTCAAAGTGGGCTGCTGTAGGCGCTCACACCAGCATCCCATGATTAAAATTAAGCTTGGCTAGCTGGTGACAATATGATTTGACTGGTCTACTTCCTGGTAGCCTTTGTCCAGCATCAGCTGAACGTTTGTCTGTTGGAGATGCAGTGCCATGCCTATTATGGGCAGCAGTTATGTGAGTGAGATCTATATCTGCGGGTAGATTTCTGTCTGGCTCCACTCATCCATACAGACTGCTGGACAGACCAGGAGAAATCCTCAGTATCGACCTGAACACACCCCCCTGGGGACAAGTGAAGGTCAATCTGAGGCAAAGCGAACACCAGAGAAAGAGAGAAAGAAAGGGAAAACAGAGAGCACACAGAGGCTGGGACAGACTTCAAAGCATTGCAATCTTGTGAATTATCAAGGCATTTATACCTGGTTTTATATCTTCAACAGAGCTGCTTCTTGTGATTTTAGGTCATTTTCATGCTTGACGACAAGCCTTAAATATAAAATATCAGGGACTATCTCTACAATTTAGTCAAAACAAGTGTCCAGTGTTGTATTTTTCCAGCTCTGGCTGATTTACAGTGATAGTTACTGCATGTTTACATTCATACTGCTACTGTAAACACAGTTGCAGTGTGAGGACCAAATGTGGGTCGGCCAAAAAGTAAGCGAACACAGACGACTGAGTATGTGAGCATGTAAGAGAGAGATAAAAGTGAACGATAAAACAAATGTGGCTCCACTTTAGTAGAGAATGTGACAGAGCAGCTTTGAAGTGAGTGACTGAATGAGATGCCAACAGATTATCGTGATTCATGCGGGCTTTCACAACTTTGCATGTGTCTGCTGCTGCTGTGGTGACGGAATACCCTCTGACAATCAAATCTGCAAAAACTTTGTGTAGAGACCTGACTGAGGGGAAATCGCCCGCCACATCCCTGTTTCTATGGCAGCTTCTTTGTCTCCTCATTGTTTCTCACTAAAGTTGTGTCAAGTAGTTACTATTTCTGTTTAGTGCGTATCAGGGTCAACCAATCGTTGCAGCTCTAGTGTGTATATCTATTCTCTGAAGTTTTTCCTGTACTTTTGCTGCTGTGACACTTAAATTTTCCTGCATGGCGTCAATAAAGTTAATCTTTAGGGCTGCAAATAAAGATAATTTTTTATTATCAATTAATATGGTGATTATGTTCTCACTCAACCTAATATTTTTGCCTATGTTATGACATGAGAAAACCATTAAATCCTGACATTACTATGACTAAGACAAAATAGCTCTAGAGTTGAGTGGAAACAATTAGTCAATCAATTAATTAATCAGCAACACAGAAACAGAAATTTAATTGGCAAACGTTTTTATAATCAAGTCAAGTAATTGCTGAGATTATTTGTAATGCGAAGAATGATGTCAACTTTGATTCTGATAAATGATGACAGACACTTTTATCTATTTTCTTACATTTTATAGACTAGATGGTCAATCAACAGATTAATAAATCATGAAAATAATAATTTGTTGCTGCCCTAGCACAAATGGCACCTATGAAGTTTAGCTTTGTTGATATTTATCTACTTGCTGTGGTACACCTGAGCAAGGTGGATGGTTGCAGTCATTGTGGCTTGAACCAGGACCAATCAAGACAGACAAAAATCAACCTCCTTAAACAGTGCAAGCTTTGCAGATTAGAGGAGCTGTACATGTTCTGGTCATGGTGTTCAGTGTTGCCAGATGGATACAAAGACAGAGAAAGAGCGTTTTGCTGAAACGTAGCAACGCCAAAAATGACAAATCACAGCAGCTGGACTCACTCCTGCTCCTGCTCAGTTATTCCGGACATGAGGGCATGTTTTCAGTCTCTAACAAACTGTTTTTCGCACATTTAACTACAGTAGTTTGAAAATGGGTTGGTTTAAAGTGTTTTCCAGGTGCAGAAACCCCGGTTTTAATCCAAACATTTCAGAGACGTTGAAGTTTTCGTGCTCTCCCTCTCTCTGTGACACCAGCTAACTGGCTAACGTTAGCTAAGTTTAGGTCACATCAGCATCCGAGCTGGCTAGCGGCACCATTAGCCACCAAAATAGCCTGCTAACTAGCAGTTTTCTCGGACAATGCGGGTAGACAAACACGTTAAATGTACTTTTACCTTCTGTCACGGTGTCCTCCGGTAACGTTTTGGTGACAGCTTTGGAGACAAGGTATCCCAAAAGGCAGAGTACAATCGCAGCGGTCCTGCTCCAGTCCTCAGCCCGCATCATTGCAGATGTGTGTATCAACGCAAACGATTAAAAAAACAAAAGTAGAAACCAAACCTTTTGCTTTTACTGACTCACTGACCGGACACATCAGCGAACAAACGGTTTATTCCGCAAAGGAGGCCACACTCCATGTTTAGCAGCTTCAGCATTCCTGGTTTTTGCCTGCAAAGCTGCGATTCTTCTGTCCCGTTGTGCATCCCCAGCCCTTTTACCGCTCGGTCGGTTTTTTCATCGACTGGCCAGGGTCAGGGAGGAAGACGGCCCCATTCCTCTGAGCCACATGCCCCAAAACAGCACCAACAGGCGGCTTCTTCCACACGCAGCACCGCTAACATCTGCAGACCTCCAGCGCCACCTGCCAGCCAAATAATGGAAATATTACTTACAGCTTTAAATTGGTGTTTTGGATCAACAGAGTGTTTCAGTCAGTGTGCAAACTCTTCATACAAAATGCCATCTCCTAATTCTGGCACTGACAAAATATAGAAAAAAGTTTATTTGTAGGCCTACTGTAACTTTCCATTACAGTAAAGTCTTCATTCATTCAAAAATGATGATTGTGACTGTATTTCACTGTGCTTATTTCACTTTCACATTTGAAATGGAGTTTAAATTGAGAAAACAAACAGCTTACATCCAATGTACATACAACATGTACTATACAAGACAAGAGGACTAATTTTCATGTATCCCTACAACAAATTGGCTATACCGTTTGAAAAAAAAAGAAATATTAAAAAAAAATAGAATATGGTGGATTTCTTTTTGTCTGTATTTGTTTTTACTTATCACAGTTTGTTTTATGAGACAGCAGCTCTTTTGCAGTTCTACCATTTCTTGCATCTGTAAGCCTACAGCCTTTACACCACACCTCATACAAATGAGATGGCAATATCCAAGTTTTTCCAAAAAATAAAATAAATATATAAAATGAAATAAAAGAAATTAAATGATTACATTTCAGAAATTATAACCTGGTGTGAGTCAGTTTGTATGGCAGACCGACTAACATGTCAAAGAAAGGGAAATTACATAATAGTAGTATTATGTACAGGTGTATAATAAAATAATTGGTGGCTGAATTCCCTTTAGCTGCTTCAGTTTTAGTGTATGCACACTGCCATGACTCACTGTGACAGCTGAGTAGAAGCTGAGCTATTGTTAATGTTAATATCACTGATGCTTTTCCCACTACGACAAGGTGAAATGTCTGCTGTGAAAAACAGACAGTGTGTAGCACACTGTCTGTTTCCTTGGCATGACCAGATTAAGATCTCCCACCTGTTATGTCACAGTGTGTTGCACATAGGCCAGATATGGTTTGCAGCTAACCTGTCAAGTCCTGAGCAGGTACAATTATTTATTATTTCACAACAAAAAAAAAAGCAAAGACTAAGTTTAAAAAAAGCCCTAGTCCCCAGGTTGCAAACCACTGCTATATGTACAAGCCTTGTCTCAAATTACAGATCTGCACTGATTCAAAAACTATTAGAAGGCAGTTGTAACTTTTTCAAGAATAACATTGCATTATATGCTGTTTATTCATTTAAAATTTTCTTGATTTCCATTGTTTTTCAGTTCCCCATGAAGTTGTCTATATTTTGGGCTGCTTTGTGATTGGCACAACTGAGGTACAGTTTGAGTTTGACGCAGAGGAGCTTTTGTGGTGGTATGTGTATGTATGTATTTGACATTGTATACACTGTGCCCACTTTTCTTGATCTTGATCCAAGTCAGATTCTGGCAGGTTTGTCTATACTTAGAGATGCTCTGACAAACAACTCTGCAACTCTGTTCAGCATTTACAGCACTCGCTGCAGAGGAAGAGAAAATCCACCAGAAGCAAAAGGTAAATTATCCTCAATATTAATCTCTGTGGTGATATAATTAATGAAATTCTGACAAATATTTTTATTTGTCTTTTGACCCACTAAAGACCCTCCAGACAGTGTCCTCTACCCTGCAGAGGAAGTTCAGGTGGGAGTTGAAAACAGCCTCAACTGCTTTGTGAATCATTTCTACCCACCTTCCATCAAAGTCAGCTTGACTAAAAATGATCGTCTGGTGTCAGAGGGGGACAACATACACCAGTGCTTTTTGCATAATCCTGTTGACAGATAAGCAGACACTGGTGAAAACATAACCTGAGGGCTCTTTAAGGCCACCCCTCCCCTCCCCTCCCCGAAGCTGACTAATCAGACCCCAGTGTGCCCTGATTGGTCAGCTTGCCGTCAACTACTCCGGCTCCGCCCACATCTTGCTTTCTGGCACGCTACTCTTAACAAACTGTTGTGGCTGTTACAATGGCGTCGGTTTGTTTTACAAATTTAAGCCATGAATGTATTACAAAACCACGGGTTAAGACAGAGACAAATTTTGAAACCGAAGATGATAGACCTTCGCAAGATAAATTGGAGCATGAAAACAAGCATTCCCACTGCCAGTCTGTCAGAAAGAGGGAAATGGTAGGAACAGTGAAGAGAAGTGCTACAAACAAAGTCGCTCGACAGTCTTTTATGAAATACCCCTTTGATTTTTTTTTTTTTTTTTTTTTTTTTTTTTTAAATCTGTGGACTTCACGACCACTCCAGATGATTCAATGGCTAAGGCTTCACCATCTTGCTGGTAAATCTGAAGTAATTGTACTTTTTTGCTCATAGTTGAATTGTGGATGATTTGTCCGAGCTAACGATGTATAGCATGTCAATCTTGAAAAACGTTCAAAGGATTTATCTTTGTGCATGTCGCAATGCTTCTTCCCACTAACATGATGAGGTTGCCAGCGACCAGATTAAAAATCACAAATCTACAAATAGTGATACATACTGCTAGGTTGTGAGCCTGAGTGCCCTGTTGGGCGACATGTGGGAACTGCCTAGTCCTTGAGAAATAACCATTGCGAAAATATAGTGTTGAACTGTGCACAGTGTTTGAAGCAGTTCCAGTTCTTTGTGTTTCTGTCTGTTGGCAAAGCATACAAAGTAGATTTCTCCAAGCAATTGAGAATAAGGTGTCTTTTCAGCATAACGACAAAACTAAACAGAGTTTGTTTTTGTTTACTGGCCTTCATTTTAAGTTAAACTGTTTAAACCTTTGTCATGTACTTTGAGCCTTGCAATTTTGTGGACCATTACACAATGGTCATAATACGTCCTCTTTAAATTCATCATGTGGTCAGACACATGACTTATAATGAAAGATAATGTTGCTCCATGTCTGCTGGATGTGAAATGATGTCAGTCAATGTGTTGTAGGTTTGTTATAGGTTAGAGCGCCATTTTGTTTGCCCAGATAGACTAACTCCTAACTAAAGCACAGATATTTAATAAATAAATAAATAACAATAAAGTTGTTAATGATATTTAAGTGTTACTCCCTAAATTAACACAGGGCTCTTGCTCAAGAAAAAACAAACAAAAAACATTTGCGTTTAATATATAATTGGCCCCTCATCTGTTTGCTCAATATTGACAACAAAGCTGCTTTAAAACATTGCAAGCTTGTCAAACTTGTGCTGCTTTAAAAAATGTGAGTTAACTGAACTAAACCTGAATATTTTGTCCAGTCATCTCATAAGTGCTTATAATGTATGACAAAACAAATTAAGGTCACTGAACTCAAGAACTCCCCAAGACCTGAAAGTAGACCTCGTTGTGTAAATTCTGATCAGGAAACATAAGTGAAAATTCCTGTGTGGGTGGACTGTGGGGCTCTGTTGAGTTAAGTGAACACTTACAGCAGTACATTCATTTGAATCATCATTTAAGTCGCAAAACTTCAAGCTAGAAAAACAGATGTTTATATATTTTTTTAAATGAATCTGAAAATGAAAACTACAAAGTTGAATTTACTTATCAAGTCAATTTTTATTTGTATAGCACAGATTCACAACATAAGTTATCTCAAGGCACTTTCCAAATAGAGCAGGTCTAGACCTTCTCTTATGATATTATTTACAGAGACCCAACAATGAATAAAACTCATCTATTTACATTGACATGAATTGAGAGTATGCAGAGAATGGCTGATTTAACCAAATTCCTGTAGGGTGTTTTACAGTTTATTTATTCCTCTATTCCTCCATTCCTCCAAAAACATTCACAAGAGCCATATCTTCAATAACTAATGAGTCACAGAGTAGCTTTATGTAAAAATGCCCAAACACCGTCTAATTTCGCTTTTCAGTGCTTGGGTATAAAATGCCTTTGCTCCCCAGAACTGGACTTCCAGCACCACCTGCAGTCTAACATTGGAAATCATGTTCCCTGTTCTTACGTAAGTTGCTCTCTCAACTCGGCCATTGTGCCTTTTTATAATTTATTTGAGGAAACAAACAAATCATCTACAGTCTTGACTGTTTTCTCTAAAATAAATGAGATGCCAATTTCATTTATGGCTCATATCAATAGACCAATCACAACAAGAAGTTTAAACAAAGAATCATGGAGTCGTTGTTATGTGGTTCTGAGTTTCCATTTGTGCCCCAGCTTTTCAATGCCATTATCCAATTTTATTACTTTAATTTTCTCCCTCAACATGGGAGGGCCCATTGGCATGCTCCCAGTGCACACTGATTACAGATCAGTCTGTGCTTAGAGTGAATATCAACTCTCTTATAACAGCAGATGCGGAGGATTGTTAATTTTAATTATTTTAGAAAACAATACAACCTTCAGTGCTGTAGATTAACAGTTTCCAAGTGAGAAGAAATATTTCTGCCTCACAAAATTATGTTGTTTTTTTAAATCTTTGCTTTTTCATTGTTGGATACTGGATAATTTACCTCTTGTGGCTCTTAAAAACTACTAATATGAATTAATCACTTTGGATAAACTGCTTGCAACTCATTTACATACTGCATGTGCACTACTTAAAAAATTTTAAAACTCCAAGTGGGAAATAACCTTTAAACAACACTGCTTGATGGCTAAAAGGTTAACATATTTTCTGCACACTGTGCATTTCTGATGATGCAGGTACAAAAGCTTTATTCATCTACACTGTCATTTCTCAACAATCTCTCTAATACAGTTAAACTGGTTAAACTGCTGTGTTAGAATCAACATTAACATAGCACAGATGCTGTGATCTTATTTCTTATTTCTTATTATTTATCTTATTTCTACAGAATAATAAGAATAATTTTGTTAGTTTTATTGTTGTTCATTGTTTTTTTTTACTCATTTACCAAGGATTGGATTAATTTTGTTTTTCAGTATAGGTTAGTTATTTTCCTGACATCCATAACACTTTTATTGTGATAAATATGCTCTTAAATCATGGTTTGTTTACATTTTGGTATTTATGATTTGACACTTAAATTAATTCTTTTTATTTTCATCACACACCAACCTTCCCAAGCTTAAACAAAGGCAGTGCTGGTCAGACAGACCTGTCTCTCTTGGTAACAGAGAGACCTGCCTACCAATGGGTGGCACCCTCCCTGTGAGGCCACCGCCACTCACTACATTACTTCCTCTGGTTAGTTTAGCATATGATCTGGTCATGTGATCTAAGGTTCTTTCAGGAAACAGAAGTAAAGATTTTTATGTCCTGTTGTCGAGTCTCCTGTCAATGCTGACGATCCTCTGCTCAGACATGAGGCACTCTGCTGTTATAATCCTGATATTCAACACCTTCTGTGCCTATTCAGAAAGTAAGAATTTATTTAAATGTTCTACTCTGTTCTTGTAAAGATTAGTTACACTTATGGAAACATTAATAGGGGAGTTTTTTAAGTTTCTGTTGAGAATATAAATGCTTGAACGAAGAAGCCACTTGTTTCTTAGTATATACCAATATTTATAATTTTCTTCATTTCGACTTTATTGTTTTTCAGTTCCCCATGAAATTGCCCGTTTTGTGGGCTGCTTTGACAATGGTACAACTGATGTGCAGTTTGAATATGATGCTCAAGAGATTTTGTACGTGGATTTTGAAAAAAAGGAACTTGTATACACTGTGCCCAAATTTCTCGTGTTGGACCCAAGTGAGATGTTTAGTGGCTTACATGTATACAAAAATGCTCTAAAAGGCAAGAGAATATGTACAGCTGTTCTGGCATACGTTACAGCGGAGGAGAAAAATCCACCAGAAGAGCAAGGTAAAGGATAAACTGTATACTGTATTAAGAAAAAAGTAAATTAACCTCAGCATTGATCTTTGTAGAGATGTGATTGATGAAATGCTGATAAATGATTTTATTTGTTTTTAAACCCACTAAAGACCCCCCTGAGTGTGTCCTCTACCCTGCAGAAGAAGTTGAGGTGGGAGTTGAAAACAGCCTCATCTGCTTTGTGAATCATTTCTACCCACCTTCCATCAAAGTCAGCTGGACTAAAAATGGTCGTCCGGTGTCGGAGGGGGTGTCGCTCAGTCGATATTATGCCAATAGTGATCAGACCTTCCACCAGTTCTCAACCCTGACGTTCACACCGAGGGAGGGAGACATTTACAGCTGCACTGTGGCGCACTCAGCCTTGGAGAGGCCTAAAACAAGAATCTGGGGTGATTTTTTTTTTTTACCTTATTAATGTACTTAAATATTAAAATAATACACTGATCTATTGTAAAATACTTCCTTGTAATGATGCATATTTTCTCACATTCCTCCACAGGACCTGAATTTAGTCATCAAAGTCTCGGACCAGATGTTTTCTGTGGAGTGGGCTTGACTCTTGGCTTTGTGGGGGTCGCAGCTGGAACATTTTTAATTGTCAAAGGGCACCAGAAGGTAACTTCTTATTCTTAGAAATATTGTACACATGAAATTGATGATGATGGTACTCATGAATTTTGCACAAACATAATAATATTCAAGTCCAATGCAAATTTGCACCATTGTCTAATAAACTGTGATTTGGTGTGAGAGAGATATGAATATCGAGCCTGTTATGGCTCATTCAAGAACAAATTAGATGTAAAATCTTAGTGTGGGAAATTTACATTAATTTGTACACAAAATATTTCCTGAACACACACAAAGAAGAAAGCCACAGCAAACAGGTTCATCAGCTGTGTTTCAACATGGAATTTACATGAATACATACCTTAATACACAATTCATATGACAGATCTATACTGTCTGTTTGTTTTATTGTTATTTGTAACTTGTATATCTGTTAAGAATATTGAGGTTTCTCATATACCTTTTTTTTTGTATATTTTTATATTTGTATAACATGTACTGACATAGAGACTTCTACTGTAAGTAGTACTGATTCTTTATTGTATTTACTTCACTGTTTCCATTTACTGCTGCTCTGTATTTCTACTACTGAGATATGTGTCATTAGAAACTGGGTTAGAATCGTTTATGTTTGAATTGTTTAACTTGAATAATTGCATTGAAAAACTGAATCTGAATAGCATATATTAAAATTGAATTATAAGTTTGGAACTGAATTCCAATAAATTTGAAACTGAAGGTAATATGAAATTGAATTAATTTTCTCAGAAACTGTAGCCTAATTGATCCTCACTGAAAATTCTACCCTCCATGTACTTCCACAAATACTTCTCACTATTCAGACTCACTTCTCGTAATTGAAATTCGATTTACACAAGTCGCACAAAGGACCCATTGTGGATTCAAAACAGTGATTTTTTTTTTCTGAAGTTCATATCCCTGAATGAGGGAAAAGGCCACGCCTGGCCATGAATCTGATTGTCAATAAATTGTCCAATTACTTCTGAGCCTCTGAAAGTGGAGGGACTATGTATGAAAACGGCTCTAATTCCTAAACGGTTAATGAAATATTTTTGTCAATTAAAGTTGAATGTAAAGTTGATGGCTTCTCTTCAAATCCATTTTAGGGGTGTACAAATGCAGAACTATGAAAATTGCATTTCTGTCCAAATACTTATGGACCTGACTGTATTTGGTTTTTGAGAACTGTCCCTTAATAAACATAAAACAGGAGTCAGAGGGATTGCTGAACCAAACTAACGACTCTGGGCTTCCACAATGTTGAACCAGAATGGTTTTGTATATTCCCATATACAATGTAGGAAAGTTCCCACTTCCATTTTTCATTTCCAACACAAATTATCCTTCATCAGGTTCGTTCTGTGAAATCTTACTGGGGAATGATACTATCTGATGATCTGATGTTTAAAGCTCCTTTTTGAGTCATTTACATTTTTTTTCACATTCTGTTATTATATTCAGACATTTCCCCTGTTCAAAAGATGAATTGAAACACTTTACAAGTGAATCAATTAATCCATCAATACTAAGATCAAATAGTAAATCACTTCAATAACTGATATGAAATTGGACAAAAAAAAAGGAAAAAAAAGTGGTCACAATAGATAACCAGAGCAATAACTATTTCGACTGGCATGTAACAAACAGAGCAAAATCAGTTTAGTGTGTAGAAAAAAGAAAATGTTATAACATAGGTGCCTGTTAAACCTTCAGGCCATAGGAATCCATCATAAAAATATTAAAACAAACATGTACCACACCTGCTTACGGTAAATAAATGTTGGGCGGGCTCTACTTAAGCTGATTCACTTCCTCCTGTTCCCTGTGTGAGATCAATTTACTTCCAGTTTTACATATGTCATTTGATACCAGCCATGCATGCTCGCAGCTGCTTTTCACTACTGTTCCTGTCATTTTTAAGAGCGGGTAAGTAACATTAAAACAGCATTTGTCATTATTCAATTGTGTTGTTGTTGTTGCAAACAGATACAGCCCAGGATAGAGCCAAACATTCAGTTGCTGCTAGAGGTGTTATGGATTATATAAATTAATCTATCGGTGAATTTAAAGTGAACTGATTATACTGAATTGACAGGCATTAGTCTTTAGATAGGTGAGCTCCTGACAGAGAGCTGCACTTTGTGGCTGCTGAGCTGTTCAATTTATGAGCAGTGCTCGCACTGATCGCAACAGACTGAATTTACTCCTGCAGTAACTGACGACGGTCTGAGTCAATTACCGGTCCATATTGTCTCGGAGACTTTCCCCGTCTGTGTGTTTTTAACCTTAGGTAAATCTGAACCAAAACGTATCCTTAACCCCAAACACGAGGGGAAGGGACCCACGCGAGTTTAACATGCAGGAACGGAGCTGCCGGCTACCTCCCGCAGATTAACATTGGGGAAGTGGGTAGCAATTTCACACAAGTTAGAGCGAGTTTTGCTGACTAGTATTATAAACATTGCTTATTGTGTCACCCCTTACTTAAGTACCATTTGTCTGGTGGTAAAGAGGTGTGAGACATGACCTACATGTAAAACTCACTGGTTGCCATGGTCACAAAGTGAATGGCAAGTTGCTAAAAATGACGAAGGTTGGGGTCAGGTGAAGCATTAGGGGTGGGATGATGGTGTTGGCCAGGTAAAGATGAGGGGAAACTAGCATCGGCAGGAAAACAGACTTCACCGTCCTGTTGCCTTTTGCGTTCACTTACTGTTGTTGATAAACAATGAGGGGTGCACCTACTAAAAATTCAATAAAATTAAACTAAATGAAAATATCATTCAAGTAAAGTTCAGGTATGTCAGAATTGTACATAAGTAGAGAACTTGGTAACCGATATAGGTCATTTCCACCACTCTGTGTCAACACATTTTTGAACTGGATGAAGGTATTTGAATCAGCATTGTGATTCATGGTTTCCACCTTTGGTTACTACAATGTAAATAAAAGAGTTGCCAGTTTTAGAGTTTTGAAACACAGAGTAAGTGAGAACACCATGAAAGAGAAAAGTCAACTTATAATGCTTTGTGGCTTTATGTTACAGGTGCTCTCTTCGGTTACGGTGTAAGTCGTTGCCTGTTGACTTCCACTCATGAAGCTGTTTATCTGGAACAAATCTACTTTAATAAAGTGCTTCTTGGCCAATACAACAGCACCTCAGGAAACTTTACCGGCTACACAAAAATCGCAAAGGAAGTTGCAGACGACCTTAACAAGAACCCATCTTTTTTGAAACAAGAACAAAAGAATGTAGAAACATGCAAAACCAAAATGCCACCGGCAGTTGAACTCCTTTCAAAACCAGGTGATTTTAATGTGTAAACTCTGGTAATGCTTCAGATTACAGCCTGCACATGTAGTTATTTAGTATATGTTGATGAAATACTTACTGGGTACCTGTTGCAGGACATATACTGAATGTTAAGTACAAGGGAAGAAGACATGAGGTTATAGTGAATGAAGGTACCAACTGTACATGGCTGCCCATGTAATTATTTACAAAATGGAATAATTATGGGGCAAGATAACAAATTGTATTGAGATATATTACTATATAAAGAATCAGTTCAACGAATGGCATGCCAATTTGTAATGTTTTCACCAACTTTCTTTGAAAAGCATGCATGAGGAATGTCGGCTGATGTAATGGCTGTTGCATCATGACAAAGCATTGACAATGTTTGAGAGATCTCCCTTATTACAGTGCAAGTTTGGGGTACAAGAGCTGTAAAATAACAGTCCTTTGTTCACCCCTTTTACACTGAATTACAGAGTAGTTAAGGGGTATATTGTTTGTTTGCTTATGATTTATGGCTCTGGATTGGGTTGTACCAGCAATTCTCCACTGAAACAGTTAAACTTTAAGACCTTCCTAAGTTCTCACTACTAGCTGCGATAGTTTTAAACTAGTGAATTACTAAACCAGGTTTCACCATTAAATCATAGGATATGTCTTAGCAGTTAAGACTTCAGTAGGAAATATCTATAGCACTGACTCAACAACAATCAACATGACAGCATTACAAAAAAATACATTTTTAGAGACACAAAATATATACAGTGAGGTCCAAATGTCTAGTCATATGACTCAAGGATCATATTAGCAAGCTAATAGCTTTGTCAGTTGTTTCAGTTAACTATACAAAAGTTACACTTGGCAGTTGTAAATATTTAGTAACAACTAATCTAAATAGTTTTAATTTAAAATATATAATTGACACTGCCCCAAATTGCACTGCATGTCTACGGCCCTTCTAACTCCAAATTTGTTATCCTTTATTCCCCTTACTTCACTTCTACCTATCGTTACTACCCAGTAAGTATTTTATTGGTACATGATATGTACAAAATATTTACACTGTATTCATGGGCTGTAATCTACAGCATTACAGAAACTCAATGTTACTGGTGTAATAATACGAGGAGTAATACAAGATCTATGATTTCATCATCTGTTTTGCCTCTGTTCATTTTCCTCTAGTCGAGCCCTACGTCAAGCTGCGGTCAGTTGAGACAGTGAGCAGCAGACATCCAGGCATGCTTCTCTGCAGTGCGTACAACTTTTATCCCAAACAAATCAGAGTGACATGGCTGAGGGATGGGAAGATGGTGACATCTGATGTGACGTCCTCTGATGAGTTGTCCAATGGGAATTGGCTCTACCAGATCCACTCCTATCTGGAGTATGCACCCAGACCTGGAGAGAAAATCACATGTATGGTGGAGCATGCCACCCTCAAGGAGCCCACACTTTATGACTGGGGTAAGGGAGTGACAGGAACCTTTGAACCTCATCAATAAGAAACACTCAAGCAGGAATATTTGTTTGAGAAGAGTTATGATAGAACACTTTTAATAGATATGAATACACAGTATGTAAATTTGTGTTTGTAATAAATGTGTTTTCAGATCCCATGTCTGAGTCACAGCAGAATAAGATTGCTGTTGGGACAGCAGGGCTAGTGCTGGGTCTGGTCCTTTTTCTTGTTGGGGTGATTTACTACAAGAAAAATGCTACTGGTGAGAGACAGAACCAAACTAACCGGGGGGGGGGGTCAAAGTCTAAAGGCCTCAACGTTAGCAGCTGAAGCAAAAATTGTGTAGAGATAAATAAATCTGTCACTGTATCTGTCACTTGTGTAATCACATATTAATGTAAGAACTAACAGCGCAGAAACAGAAAGTAGCATGGCAGCACTCTTGGGACTTTTGAAGTGAAACTCAGACGTCATTGTATCGATGCGTTTCTGTGAGAAAAAAATGTATTGTCTCATTACTTTTAAAATCATAGAGCAAGACGGTGAACCCCACTAGTGATTATTTGTAGGAATCTGTCAGATTTAATGCAACACTTGTAGTTTGACAAGAGCCTCTAAGGAAACAACCTGTTTAGATTTGAACACTTCTCAACTACCAAACTCAAAATCAACATTGTGTGACTCACTGTTTTTCTTTTTGTTTTTCTTCTAGATCGGGTGTTGGTGCCATCAAGTTAAGGTAGTCTGCCACTTTTGGCTGAAATAGTTGTAATACAAGCAATAATGTGAAGTTATCCAAACCAAAATGGTAGAAAATAAAATGGATAAGAAGGTTTTTATGAGGAATAAGAGCTTTGCTCAGTTCCTGGGGATATTGATATGTTTTATATCTGCATCAATAATATATGTTTTAATATTAATTTATAAAAAAGTAAGCTTTTATTGAAGTTTTAAATATCTTGTCAACACCGAAATTAGGGACATATAAACACAAGTTTGGCCCTAAATCATATGTAATATTTTGATTAACTACAATCAGGTTGCGTGTTCTGTGTCAGTAAGGTAAAGTGGAAAGTAAGTCCCATTTTCTTTTGTAATGTATAAATCCTGATGATTTAAGAGAGCTAATCTTTTGGTTCAACTAAACAGAAGAAGGCAAGATAGACTACTTAACTGGTATTTACTTGAATTTGTCAGTGATACACAGATTTTGTTGTAGATGGTGAAAGTCTGAGGATAAGACTGTGAAAATTGTTTTCTTGTTTGAAAACGTATACTGTACACTACACTTTGATTCTGGTTCTTAGGAACTGCTGGTATCTTGTAAGGCCTTGCAGGCTGGGCATAGTTGTATACGTGACAAAATAATAAAACTTTCACTCATTCATTACTTCAAGTTATAATAATCTCATGATCTGATACATATTGAGGACGAAGGAAAACTCACAGGTTCCAGATTATATTAAAGGAAAGATGCAAAGGATCTGTGTGTTATCAAGAAAGACAAAGGCACTCCACATGAAGTTACTCTAAATAAGATTATTGCCATGTATCTTATTAACATAAAGGAGATAAAACTTACTTTTACAGCACTTTTATGTTGTGCATATTTTTGTCTTATATTATTAGTATTATGGTTAGATTATTTTGACAAATGAAGATGTTAACCATCACAGTAATATTCATTGTAAATTTTGGTAAAGTTGGTAAAGTTGGTAAAGTTTTTTCAAATTTTGATGATTATATTGATTTTAATATAAAACTGAGCTTCATTAAACCTCTGTAAAGAAGCATTCGACTAGAGACTAGAGCAGATATTTGCCATATAATAACAAAAAAGAGAAATAATTTATGTGAGTGGCACACTCATTGTTCACAGAATCAAGTTGTGTTTTTTTTTTAAATCTTTTTTTCCTCGTTTGAGTTCACTTCTCCCTTATCTCCCCCATAAACATGTTAGCAGATCTCTTTAACCTCTTTTTCTATCCTGTTACTGCATTTTCTAGAGAGGGTAACATTAAAATTTGAAGAGACAGTCATTGTGTTGCTGTTCAAAGTAGGACATGGACATTATGTAACCAAACCAAAGGCAGCTAAAAGCTTTTTTCAGGCAGGGAAATGTTTTGTGCAGCTGATCTCTTTCAGCTAATTCACTGACTATAAGATAATTTTATCAGTTAAGACATTACATTCAACCATCTTATCCCATGTGTATACTGTAACTAATAGTAAACAGGAGTGTTATGTCTTGGCTTTGTTCAGTCTTTTCACTTGGGATTTGTTTTTGCCCTTGTCTAACAAGATGTAGTTTGGCAGGTAAATTGCTTCCTAGTACACCCACACCAGTTTTATTTGCCAAAATAAACAATGAAGAGAGCTAACATTTGCTGATTTTACTTTGCATTATTTCTCTTTGCTCACACTACAACACACTGTTGGTTTAATTCCAGTGAAGGTCATCATGTTGTGCACTTGGAGCAGTACTACTGTGACCAAATGTTAATAGGACGATACAACAGCACATAAAAAACAACTGCAACAAAAATGAAGTTAGATGGGGAAGTACTTCAGAAAGTCACTGTGCCAAGAAATAGTCTGTTACATAAACATCCATAAAACATCAAATTATAGTGTTTATGCTTTGGCTTTTCTATAGATTAAACAAATTAGCTCTAACATGTTTATTAGTGAGCTTTATAGGGGCTGGTAGGTGCATTTTATTACTTTTGGACAAAGCCAGGCAAACTGTTTCCCCTTGTTCCCAGTCTTTATGCTAAGCTAAGCAGCTGCTGGTTGTATCATTATATGGAAGAGAATGGTATTGATCTAAGAAAGAACTAAAGAACTAAGAAAGCTAACAAGCATATTCACCAAAATCACAAACTATTACTTCACTGCTGATGTTAGTCATGATTGAATACATTAAATTAACTTAATTATTACCACCAGGAAATACTTGTTAAATCTTTTGCCAATCTTTTTCAAAATTAACATAAATTTATAAATTCATAAATCTAATTTTAGACATTAAAAAACCTATAACTTAACCTTATATAGCCTATGATAAAGTGTAGTATGTAGTGTGCTGTGGTGTCCTCAGCCTCTGGAATACACCCAAACTGGGTAGGGACATGTCATTTCTCTCATATTAAGCAGCGCTGCTGCTGGGTCTTCACTTTTCACTTGCCGGGCTGATTTCCAACATGAGGGAATCTTCTGGTGAGAGATCATATCAAATTAAATCAAATTAATTTAACAAATGGTTGAATTTAAATTTTCCCTGTGGTAACAGCTGGGATGCATATACTGTATCTGACGAACATCTGGAAATCTGATGCAGATGTTTTCAAAACCAACAAAAGCAGTTGTGTTCATTTTAATCTAGAGTTAAAAGAATAGCCTACCTCAAGGGCTGTGACCCAGAGCCTCTTGAATGCAACAGAACAAACAAACTATCCAGTAAAAACTTCTCAAATTGGGGCAGAAAACCAGCAAATATTACAACAATTTTTGTAGTCCTACATTACACAATACACGATCTGTATTGTATTTTAAATTTCAAGTCAGGCATTGGTGCCAGCAAGTTAAAGTAACCTTGGTGCTGACATTTAATAAGTTTGTGTGAAGCATTTGTAGTAGATAATTTATCTGCCTCAACAGTCACTGTCTTATGGGTTTAAATACAGAGCAAACACATAAAGTCAGAGGAAGTCTGTGGGAATTCACAAGGTCTCTGGTTGAATCCAATGGAGTAATTGATGTACTGATTACATTCATCATATGTGACTGTGCAATTAATGAACCTGAAAACTCAGCAGTTTTAAAGAATAAAAATCAAGATCTTTCTCTATACACCCCTACAATACATAACATGATGTGACCTACTTTCATCTCTGCTCTCCTCTACTGGGTTGTTTGTGTAAAGGAGCCCTCATTACTGTCTTACAGTCAAGAGATAACGTTGCTGCTACAATTTTAATTTTATGCAAAAATGTCAAAGTACAGGTTTCATGTTTTGTTCTTGTTCAAAATGTGAATATTTGTTGATTTTTCCTAGTCTTCTGTGTGTGTGTCTCTGTGTGTGTGTCTATAGTGCACTATATATCTTTGGGTAGCAAACTTTTCAATACTATTAAACATTGTCCTTTAATTAAAACAAAGCTTTAATAAATTGATTAAGAAAAAAACAAAGAACATGATTAATCAATTACTAGAGTGACATGATTTAATATATTCTGACATTTTATAGAACAAAGAGGTAATGGAGACAGCAACCAACAGATTAATCAGTAGCCTACTGCCGTCCACAAGTAATATGTTTCCATTACAAAAATCACCTGTCATTGTAGGCTGTCTATCTACAAATCTCATTTTGAGTTAAAAGTTTGGACCAAGAAGTAGAAGTGTCTGTAAGACAGCGCGCGGGGCTCAACACTTCGATTTATGCGCCTGCGCTCCTCGGAATAATGAGCCGCTTTGGATTCTATTGTATTTTTCTCTTCTTATTGATTAAAAGCCCAAGTTTGATTCTCTTCTTATGTTTCGCTATTTTTGTTTATATTCATTACAGAACGCGATAAAAAAAAGGAAAGAAGATCATAGGGTACAAACAGAGGGATACTGATGAGAGCTGTACAGAGAGCCTGCCTGTGATAAATCAGACAGTGGATGTGCTATAACCTGCTCCAGTTTACAAACGCGTCATGGGATCTCTCGTCCTTGTCACTGCAGCTCTGGATGGCGTCAGTCTTGACTGAAGGACTGTGCTGTTCTTGTCCCGGAGGTCGTCCCGAAAACCAAAACACCGGAGCAGAGACAGAGCGGTTACGTTACCGAGCTGCGATAAGACGTAGGAGATGCTTGATAAGAGAGTCTTAAAAACAAGATACGGACACAGAGAGAGGATGTGTGGAAACAGCCTGTTTGTAACGACCAGAGGGAAGGATTCGTCAAAACAGCTGGTAAGACTTAAAAGACTATTTATTTATACTGATCTGCTCCAACAGGTGAAATCATCTTAACCATCTTTAAATGTGTAGGGACTTTGCTCTATTCTAACTTGCTATATCCCTTTGTGTTACTTTATTCTATTCTACCTTACCCTGTGGTGGAAACTAACACTAACTAACACTTACTGTATTCACTCATTTGATCGTTTTAATCTCATGCTACTAGTCCTGCACTACCTTTCAGAGGGAAATATTGTATTGAGCATATAAACTGAGATGTACTGTAAATTCAAGAACAATACATTTAAACTACCAGTATGTAAAATACCTAGACTTGGCTTCACCTGGGCCACAACAACATGATGCTGCTTACAAATACATCTGTATTCAACAAATAGTATCAAGTTTTTGTCTGAACAGTGGGTATTTTAACTTTTGTAGTTTAAGTAAATTTTGCTCAAGTGCAGTTTTTAATGCAAAACTTTTAAAGGAGTATTTTTACAGAGCGGTACTACTATTTTCCTTAAGTAAAAGATCAGAATACAATCAATCTATCCCCATCTTCACATCTGAGACGCTGACATCAGAATATTCAATTAATCAATTATGAAAATGCAGATACATTTTCTGTCACTCAACTGATTAATCAACTACCTATTTCTTTCAACTCTGCTTATACTTAACTGTACCATACCGGTTCTTAACACTCCTTTGTTTTCAGATACTTTACTTTCTTCTGCCTTAGCATTCAAATTCTTTACTACCTGTTTTCCTCTGCTCTACTGTACTCAATTCAAATTTACTTTACAAGCTGTACTTATTTCAATCTATTCTACTCCACTTCACCTCACCTTATTTTACCTTGCTATTTGCTATTTTAAACACTCTAAACACTCAACACCACTTGATCTACTCTACCTTACCTTATATTTACTTGACACTCTTCTCTACTTTATCTTGCTGTCTGCTACTTCAGTCTGCTCTCTTCCTCATTCTACTCTATTCTAATCTGACCTGACCATTTTCTTCAGGTAAAAACCTAACCTTACTTTTCCTTACCTTACTTTACTCTCATACTGCACTCTAACAATGTATGAACAAAGTGTATACACTTATAACTTGTATTAACTTGTTTTGTTTTCTGTCTTCTCCCCTTAGCACTGAGCCTGCCTGTGTCCACCTCTGTAGACTACTGTACCAATGGGTCTCTCGCTGTCAGCTTGGTTGTACAGCAGGGCAGCTGACAGCCCTCCCTCCTCTTCATCAGCTTTCCCTCCACTGGCTGTTCCGACCTGCTCTCGCCTCGCTGTCATTCTGAACTCTTCACCAGTTCCTCCAGGAGACAGTCGCTCACACTGGAGCTCAGTCCACCGCTCTCCTCACTTTTTGCTCTCTGCCTGCAAACAGAAAGTGACACGTTCACCTGTTGCGCTTAGCAGCGATGGGGTGAGAGCAGAGATGGGGGTGAAAAG